AATAGGATATATAATTCCAGCATCTAGTCCTTTTTAAAATCTTTTTTTAACAACTTCTATCATTATTAGGTTTAATCTTCTATGAGGATCAGCTTTAGGTCCATATTGTTCATATAATAAAATTTTGTGCATACAAATTGAAGGACTAATTCCTTTAATATCTGTTAAAGTGCGTCCTAGTGAATTTTCCTCTAATATTGGGGGTATTTTAGAATAGTTCACTCCTATTTGATCAATCTTTTTAGCAATAGCAGCAATTTGAGATGCCAAAATAGACATTGCATCAAAATCATGAATACTAGTTATTCTCTTAGATTTACCCTTTCAGAGGGCCATTGAAAATTATTAGTAGTCATTTCTTCAATTAAAGAATATGCTTCATCAAAAGGTTTTGACATTGATGATCCACCCACAACAGCATCTATAATAGATTTTAGTGATCTTACTAATCCATTGTAAAAGGTTTGGATTATTAGCCAATCTGACAAAGCATGGTGTGGACATTTTTTAAGAAGATTTTTAAATCTTTCACAGGCTTCATATATCGATTCCCCTATAAACTAACAAAAAGATGTAATATCATTTCTAAGCTTAGCGGTTTTCGAGGGTGGAAAATATTTAGCCAAGAATTTTTATGATAGTTCTCCCCAAGTTCTAATAGATCCAAGTACTAATGAATTTAACCAAGCCTTGGCTTTATCTCTTAATGAAAAATGAAAAAGTCTAAGCCTAACAACATCATTAGACACTCCGTCATATTTAAATGCAAGAAAACTAACAAGATGTAAGTTAGGATCTTCAGTAGGTGATCCTCCAAACTGATTATTTTGTACCATTTGGATAATAGCAGATTTAAGCTCAAATGAATTAGCACCAACATCAGGATTGTGAATAGTCAAGTGAAGTTCATCTGTTGTAAGATTCGTATAATCTTTTAAAGTTCTTTGTCGATTCTCATTTATTGGATTTTCTAAGTTATTTGTCATTTATTTTAAATTTTAATTTCTCTTTATTGTTTTCAAATTTTTCTAATAGTACGTTCTAATTCTAAATCGTAAGGTACTAAGCCTTCAGATCCAATATTTCACATAAACAAATAAAGTAAGCCAAGTAAAATTCTTTTTTTAAAAAAACACTATTAAATAAATTTCTTTTTGGATTTTTGATTTTTTGTTGAAGATGATGATCATGATATAAACGTATTATTGATCATTAAATACTATTGATCCTTAAAAGAGAATTTAACTGTTACCTTCACCATGCAACAGCGTCAACAACTTGATCCCGATTTTTTTTATGTAAGAATTTATGAAGTTGACACCACTGCAATGCCAAAAACTTGATCATTGTATGAAAAGTAAGTTGTGTAAAATATATATAATTATAAACAATTAATAATGACAATTAATAATGAGATTAATAATGAGATTCTACGCAAGTATACGTATCGTTATCAAGTAATAAAAAACTTTTTATTTAAGCCCCAAATATCAATTTCACAGGGAATGTGTAAATTGGCAATTATATGTTTTACTAGGAAATTTACAGAAAATTAAATGAAATCACTATCACTAATTTTAAATATCTCTACCAATAGGTCACGACTAGCGACACACACACACTTTTCAATAAGAAATCTTCATTACATAAACATAGTTAGTAGATTAGTATTTACTTTTATAAACTTTGCATTTCTGTTTTGCTAATAGTTAAGTACTTCAAAATTTATCATTGCTAATTTACACCTTCCCCGTGTGATCAATATTTGGGGCTTAAATAGAAATTCCATTATTACTTGATAACGATACGTATACTTGCATAGAATCCCATTATTAATTACCTATAATTATATATATTTTACACAAGTTACTCTTCAAAAATCAATTGGAGTGTCTCTTCAAAAATCGTCCAAATACATTGTGATTTCACTATGGATTTTCCATACATTAAGTGGAGGCCAAAAATAGCAAAATTTGTGGATTGGGTGGTGAAATATCCATTGGAGCAAAAAGGAGTCCATTTTCTGATGAATTTCGGCTCCAAATAAAGCCCAAGGTCGGTTCTCCAAGGGGTGTCTCCAAAAACTCTTCAAAATCATCCAAATACATCGAACCTTCTAGAAATGGGGGTTGAACCGCCTTTGGCGTCGTCGACGCTGAGTAAAAATTTCTGTTGTTCTATTGTTCTGCGCCGTCGGCCCTGCCCTTGGCGCGGTCAGCGCTGAGTACTTCTTCAAAAATGTCATTTTGACTAAAAATTTCATTCTACAAATTTCATTCTTTTTGCTTTAAGTTCTAAAAATCAAGAACCTGCAAGAAAACATCAAAATATCTTTCATTAATGTGCAATATCACCAAAATAAGTATAAAATATGGGTATACTGGCCCCAAGATCACTAGTAATAGAGGATAATTCATATGAATTTCACAAGGACCACTAGTAATAGAGGATAATTCATATGAACAGTGGCATAAGGTTTATATTGGCCCCAAGATCACATAACGCTTTTCCATGAACCGCAAGGGATGATAAAGCTCCCAAGATCTTTAAGCTTCTGAGGACCACCATAAGACAATATTCATAAATCCATATGGAACTTTTTCTTTCCGAAGAATGTCCTTTTGGTTATGTAACACACCTGCTACATTTTAGCGACGCATGATGTCTTTTTTGTGAACAAAAGTTTTTTATGGATTATTTTTAGTGTCCGGCCCTTCATTTGACTCTTGCCTGGATCATTTGGTGAAGGAGATGAAACACTATGAAGAGACCAACCCTATTACAAATTCATGGTTTCTGGAGGAGTGGAAGTGGGTCATAAAATTTCATGGTTTTTGGAGGAATTGTATTGGGTTAGAAATGGAAGTGACTCTTGCATGGAATGACCCAATACAATTCCTTCAAAAATCATGAAATTTTATGACCCAATACAATGCCTAGGCGCTGCCCCCACATGTTCGACAAATTACTCTAAACGGGGTTCAAGCCATTTTCACAAAAAAAACACCTCCCTAGCTTTTCTTCGACGACTGAGAGGCGATACTTAGAACACCCTTTGATCTTCCAATTTTTCTTGATCATTAACGTTTTGCTGAGCGAAATTCAATCCCAAGAGGTAAATTTCACTCTCTAAGCTATTTCCTTCAATTTTTATTTAGGATTTTTGAGATTTTTGGTATAATAAGCTTAGATTGGAGATTTTTTTGGAAAAGTTTGATTTAGCTCTTAATTAAAATATTGTTGTATCCACATCACTTTATATCCTTTATTTATGTGATTTTCATTCCTATTACTCTTTTTTGGCACTGAAAACCAAGGGGAGCAACTCCAAATCAACTTCATGCAACCAAAATAAGTTTGTAAGCTCCAAAATTAAGGAGCGTTATAATACTTCTTAGTGTCGAAGAAGTTGATTGTGGAAAGGGGATTCATTAGCCTTGGGGTGCAGTAGAGAGTATGACTATTAATCGTCAATGGGAAAACTTTTGTTACAACACCACTGTTGTTGTGATCTCTGTGGTAAGAGAATATTATGCTAATCTTCCTGAAATTATTAATGAATTAGTTTTTTTGAGAGAGAAACTTGTGGATATCTCGACTTCCCAAATCAATGCGTTTTTTTCTTTAAATGATCTCCCTAATGGCTTCTACGCAGATTTTACTCTACTGGTGATTATCTAGATAATGCTATCAATTCCTTAATTGAGGGTAGAGGAGTGTGGAAAGTTAATGATGGAATTAAGCTTAATTTTTCTTCTTCTAAATTAAATGGAATATCGAAAGCTTGACACTTTTTTGTTTATGCTAAAATGCTTCCTTCTACTCATCTTAGTGAAGTGAACAGAGATCGAGCTTTCTTAAATTATTGCATCTAAAATAATCAATCCATTTGTGTAGGCCCCCTTATTCATTACTCAATTGTAAATTCCCCGAGTGGGGGAGCTACTCTTGGTTCGGGGGACCATCTACTATCTTTTCTTTATGCAAGCATTGTGGAGTTTCTACTAGTAGTTGATCGGAGCAGCTTCATCCTTCGAAGCTGATTTCCAAGACCAACTTGAATTTATATAGTAAGCATGTTTTTTTGGTATTGGGGCTTCTTCTTCTCAGCCTTCTACCTCCTACTCCCAACCTCGTCCCTCCTACCTCCTAAAAAAATCTTATTGGCTCCTTAAATGAGGTTTGTTCGTTGAAGGAGCAATCCAAAGTAACCTTAATGGATGAAGATTTGTTGCTCGGTACCGTCGACCATAACTGTCCTTTGTATATTTTAGTCAACATTGACATATTCATGCTCTCCAGTCTTAGTGGATCCATGAGCATCCAGCAACCTAATGAATTTGCGAACATTAGCATACTTGAACATCCGACACTCACAAACTTACAACTGGCAACAGGCAGGGGCATGGGCGAGGCTCGACTTCTCGCATATAACATTTTAAATGAACAGTGTAATTCAAATTCGGTCAAATCATCATAATTTTAATTTCAATGAAATTGAACTACGATGTAAATTCAAATTCATTCATACTATATATATATATATATATATATATATATA